TATATGCAAGTGAATGTATGAAATGCATCCTAGAAGAGACTTGAACCGGTGTTAGATGCTCACCCCCCCCAGACTTGAACGAGACACCGTCCGCGGTGTCACTCGAATCCGAAGGGGCGTAATATGTGGAATAGAAAGTTCAGAACTAAGTGAAATAGGAGGGAAAAATGAGTGCATAACCTTGTGGCCAAGGTTAAAAGAGGCCTCCATGCATTCCACCTTTGATGTGTTCCACATTGTGTTGTCTTTTGTTCCAAGTCGGGATTCAACCTTAGATAAGAGCTTAGAACAAGCAAAGATCAAGTGAATCCGATAACAGTCAAGTATGCAAGACAACATAACAAAATAACAACTCGAGTCATAGGTCCCATAATGCTGAAAAAAGAAGAAAAAAGAAAGAGAATGGTCCTGATATATCTGCTCAAGAACTCTACTGGGCTCCATCCTCGGTGTCCATGTGGTCGGTGTCTCTCGGTGGTGGGGCTTCGCGGCATGGTGGTGGTGCTGTCTCCGTCGTCATGGACATCACGAACTCCTGTAAGATGGTCATGTACTGCTCCTGGGTGCCCATCCGTCGCTCCAGGTGGTCGAATCGAGTGTTCATGGCGCTGAACTGATGGAGTACTCCTGCGGCTCATCCTAGGCTGGCTCGGCTCGGTTGTGTGCTCAACCGGGTCCTCGGCCGCAGTATCATGCGCTGGTATATCTCCAGTAGCCTCGTGGTCTAGATAAGGGGCATGAGGGTCTGGCTGGCGTCTCCTCGGGGCATGCTGCGGTGTCACTCGAAAGTATAGGCCCTCTGTAGTCAGCGGAGGAAGCTCGGTCGTGGGTAGAGTGACTGTCCGTGGCGTGGCGTTCTCGTCCAGATACTTCCACGCGTATCGAGTACGAGCGGGGTTCTCGATCGCTCTCTTCAGGAAGAGAGTCTCCAAGTCTAGCTCTGTAGGGCCGTCGATAGCGCCCCAGCTCATCCCCAAATTGATCCCCACTCTCCGGGCGATCATAGATACAATGCCACCTACCCACAGCGCGGATCTGACAGAGCTCTTCTGTGCGCTCCACTGAAGGTGTAGGGCCACCTTAGACGCCACATCTAACTCAGACATTCCCCAATCATCGCCGTCAAATGCATCCCTGAGTGCTCGGTGGAGCAAACATACCTCTAGGGTCGTGACGTTCCCCTGATCTCCTCTAGCAAACAGACCTCCGGACATAAACATGTGAAGGTAACGTATTGCCGGGTGTCTGATCCAAGTGGACTTCCCATTTCCCCTCGATGCGTCCTGCGAGGCAATAGTCCGCCAGAACTGATGGTATGCCTCTGTGGGGACTTCTGGCCACATGCTCGTGGTTCCCCGTGGAACTCCCAGTATCTCT